ACATGTGACAGAGTGTTTCGTGTACTCCATCCAAAATAACCAATTTTCCTGTTTGCCTGTTTGCCAGAGGATGTCAGTTCAGTAGGCGGCCCTTCAGTTTGAGCCAGGACACATTCAATGATGACAGTTACCGTCTCACATAAGACACATGTTAATGCAAAGTGTAAAAAGGGCCTATGACTGGTATTTATCCCAAATGCAATTGGAACTACAGATCTTTTGGATAAATTGTTCAGAAGAAGCAAAGTAACAGAACTTTAGTGTGACAATTTTTAAAGCATAATTTCTCCCAAACGTGGTACATATCTAACTACGTAAGAACAATCATGTTAAGCCAAAATACTGAGGAAGGTTTTAAAAGGCCAGTGAATAGGAAAATGTTCTTGAAATAGTCCTGTGGTTTTCGGAGGGACATTCCTTTGTGGATATCAAGTATTATCTTCACAAACATCTGAAGGGTCCAAAGCCCTCAATGAGCTTTGTGTAAATCACAGAAATTATTCATGTTTAAGGCCATCATCAAACACTGGAAATTGTTTGAGTAGGTACAGAGCAGTTAATGATACCACAGAGCTCTTTGTGTAGGTGGGGTGATGGCCATGGGGTGACAGAGGGAGAAAAGAGAGAGAAAAGAGAGAGAAAAGAGAGGAGGAGGAGGAGGTGGTGGAGGAGGCCACAACAGTGAAGGAGAAAATACGCAGCAGTCTGGAAGGGAGCAAGGACAAGGCAACAGAAAACGGGTACAGAAACGAAGAGAAAGTCTAAAAGGTTTTCCATTCTCCATTAATTTAGTCGGTGAATGTGCTCCCCCCTCCCTTAACTCTCCCCTGAGACTGTCCCACACAAACCACACAATCTTCTGTTACTTTGATTCACCCGGAGATAAAGAGGAAGAGAGAGAACAAGAAGGATAGGGGAGGGAGGGGAGAGGAAGGAGAGAGTAAAGGAGCATTTACAAACACGGATGTAAAACTTTTCCATCTCAATGCTGCGTCACATCATTACTGCTCTCTTCACTTTCCATTTGACAAAAGCTGCTCAAATTCTTAACATACTGGATGCAGGATATAAGGGATCTATTGACTCAGCTGCAATGCTACAGAAATTAAACAATTTGCTTCTCATGGCACAGTGTATCATGTACACACAGGATTGAATGCAGTAGTACTACTTTATGAGATAAGTAATGTTTAATTTATGTTTCTTTGTGTTTGTGTGTGCATATGATCTACATTAAATGTAGAAAGAGGAAGAATGTGAGAAAGTGTAGTAAGCTCCTCTGTCTAATCCATCCTAGTCCATATGACCACTGCTTCCAACAGAGTTTACATCCTGGAGTCTTTCAAAAGCAACACGGATATGTTTCACTGATGTACTTGATCTGTTGAATAGGCCCAACTGACAGTGACTCCAGGAGTCTAAGTAATAATTATCATTTTTAAATTACATTAAAAGCAAATCACAAGAACTGACTATTCTTTTACTAAACTTGTCCAGTTTGGTGATTAAAACTTAAATTAATCAATTACTTTACCTCTTCACTACACCACAAAACAGAAGATGAAATTAAAAAAATAAACTACTAAAAGTTCATAAATTTGACTGGTTGGGTAATTCTAAAGTAGGTTATAATGCTAGGAAATATAATGCTTGCCAGATTTTATTTTCTATAAACAAGATGAAAACTAACTAATGTATGTGGCAATCTTAATACTGAACAGTCAGTCAAACGACGACTGACAACTTATTTGATTAGCTTTCCAACAAAATCTGTCCTTGTCATGTAATATCATTTTATAGCTACAGCATTATGCAACTTGTTATGGTTATGTTTAGGCACTGATAGCACTTGGTAATGGCTAGGTAAATATCATGGCCTTGGTTTAATACAGAAGAAAGTCTGCAGTGCATTGAACATTTAACTAAAACCACAGTCTTTCTCAAACCTTAATTAAAGTGCTTTTGTTGCCTAAACCAGAGCACAGACAGGACCTAGGATGTGAATCCCAGACTCCAGTGCCACGGTGCTGCACTTTGGAGACTACAATGTCTGTGGGCTACATTACTCAAAATAACATTGCGTACCAACACAGTCTAGACATTACCTGTTCTTACAAACAAATTAGTATAGAAATTAAATTTTTCTAAGACATTATGATGGCATGGCAGTGCTCATGGCGGACTGGCCCGACTTCTGCCCCACCACCAGTTGTCAAAGCAACCCACTGACTAGCTAAAAACCATTCTCCAAAATATGAGCACAGTTATTGGGATTGTTGCTGCTTCTCATGTTTATGTGTTTTAACAGATATTGTGAAACGAGAATTAAATGACCTTACTGACAGGATGCTGAAGTTCGGCTCTCATTTCAATCCAACTTTGCATGTGTGTGTTTTGTCTTTTTTTATCCTGTAAACAGTTGGTATGATGGAAGTTGAGGGTTTAGGGCTACACTTCCGAGTGTGAATGTGAATGTGAATTCTTTCTTGTTGGTGGCGAGCACATTTTGAGCAGAATGGGTCTTATAGCAGACGGCCAGGCCATGTGTGGTTGTGGTTTCCACTGTCTCTGTGCTTATGGTCAGTATGTTTTATTAGGCTACTGCTTGTGCTGAAGTGCTGTGCCATTTTCTGACAATACGCTGTAGAAAAAATGAAAGCTGTTTACTAGCCTTCCTTTCAAGTGCTTGTCTATGGTCTCCTTTTTTCACATTCAGCTTGCTCCATACGCTGCAGCACCTTCACTTAAGTGCCATCTGCAACAAGTACCTTGCATTACAAGTCAAGTGATACATCACAGAAATATCCATGAAGGCAAGATACTATCTGCCTTATATGTGACCCCTCTGATTTTCAATAAAGGCTGGTCCTATCTAAATATAGCCACTGTCACACTTGCATCATAACCTGTAAAAGTGAATTTGCTTTAGTATTATCCATGTTGGCATCGTGTGGGAACAGGTGCCGGAGTCAATTTTCCATGAAAGTCACTCTGGAAGTTTGCCAACTCAAAACCCAGTAAGATTAGTAAGCCATGCAAGAATAAATCTTCCCCCACAGCTGTAGTGTGAACAAAAGCATGCAAAAAGATGCAGCATTCACAGCCAACAAGGCAATCCTATCTCTGGTGGGTCAAATGACTCAGGGAATAAAGAAAGAGGCACTCCTCCTCAGTTCATATTTATAAGAAAAAAACGTAACATTACGTATTCTCCAGGTCCACATACAATACTCAAAAGAAATTGTTTATTCTGTGATTAAATCAATTAATAATAATCTAGTAGCCAAAGTACAACCAGCACACTAGGCTCAGCTTACTCTTGAGATGAAAAAATATATTATTCCTAAAAACTATGAGAAGAGGACAAATTATCTAGTTTGTTCAATATGTCCTTATTCCCACCAAAATTTAAAAAACAGTCTGTCAAAAAAATAATCTTTCAAATTATATTTTTGTTGAGAGAGAAAAATGGCTTTATAAATCATAAAGTGTCCTTTAGCTTTCAAGCCTTTCAGGCTCTTGTGCAGCTTTGCATTGTCTTTGACTGACAGCTGAGCTTGCAGTGGGACACTGACATGATTGTAGGCATCATGCTCTGTTAACAGCTCAAAAGCTAAGGAACAAACAGTTTAATGATTGCTACAGCTAACTGGCTAACTTGCTATCTAGACATATAGACATCTAAAATGATGTCAGCAATACTAGTTTGTTCAACAATCCAAGGTGCAGGTACTGTAGGGACAACCTAGCTGTTAAAATAACTTATTTTGAAAAAATCCCAATGGAACTGGCTGGATTTGAACTTCTTACATGATACACTCTCCCAGTAAAGCTCAACACTGACTGACCAGAGCAAAGAAGCTGCTGGCAAAACCATGTGTCAAAGAGGTAGCTGTTGTTCATTCCTCCCAAGGCCAACAGCAGAGTAAGCAGTGATAAGGATTGGAGTTCATCTGGGATTTAGATCTCCAAACAAGGGAAAAACCGGAAAAATCCACAAAAGACAAAAATAACATGTTTACATTTGCTACATTTGTCCATTATGGGTCCAAAACCATACTTTAGGTTGACCCCTGAATATGTTATAAATATGTTTCTGTTACTGTTGTCATAATTGCTGCTGTTGTCAAGCAAATACTGACTTAAATAATCACTGTTTCCTATTCCCGGCTGTAAAATGGGTAAAAGTATCATCAGTCATGCTCCAGTGTCTCTGTCAACAGTTTAAGTGGTCTTTCTCATTCATTTTTAATTAATTCATGGCTACCATGCAGTCAACCACGTGGAAATTGGGAAAATGGACTTTAAAGAGATGTCAAACTTAAAATATTAAGACAAAACTGAGTTGCCATAAAATGTAAAGGATGAGAGAGTATACAGGATACATATGTGATGTCCATGAACAGATAAAAAAAACTTGTTTCACATCTGACTACACATTTCTCTTTTCCCCTTTCTCATGACAAATCATCTTTGCTCCACACGCAAGTGAGCTTTTTGACAAATCTTGTCTTTCAAGAACTGACATCTTACTCCATTCACCGCTCGAAGCTCAAACACATGATTCAATTAGTTGCTGTGGTTGCTGAGAATGTGTAACATGGAATACATGCAGTAAATATCTTACTGAAGGCATGTTTATGCATGATGTGTTTGTTGGACATGGTGCACTGTCACGGGTCAACTACTTTGTATACATTAAATACAGGCCTATCCATTCATTGTGCACGCACATGCAAAGGCAATGAAGAAAAATACATAATGGGAAACGCAAACTACTAACCATCAAAGAAACTAATAAGCTATGCACCTGCAAAGAGAAATACTCAGCAAAACTTCCAACAAACAATTACAGTGATAAATTTAATAGACAGTATGTACACGTCCACACACTCAGTTCAACTTTTAAAATATTTCTGAGCAGATAAAGCAAAAGATATAAGTATGTTTAAGCTTTACACTCACACACAGGAAGTTAAAAAAGATTTGATTGTACTTACTGTTAAGCATTGCATATTCTCAGGGCGATTGGTCTCGGGGGCAGCACCATGGTTTGACAGCACAGCCTCTGAAATGTAGACAAAGGAATCACGGGCTGAGACAGTGCCTTTGGAGCACATTTCTCTCCGTGCCAACGCAAAACAGCCTTCTGGATGCACAAAAATAAAGTCCTCAAATAGTTCTGAGAGTCCATACAAGTGACTCAGAAAGATAACAACAAGCAATTATGGCAACATTTGTCTGGAGCAGCCTTTCGCTGGGCTGGGATTCAAACTTCAGAGCGCACATAAAAGGCAAAAAAACAGGCCAGCCGAGTCAAGGAAAATCCTGTAAGATGCGAGGATCCAACAAACTGCCCAAGAGAGGAGTGGAAGTGAGAACAAGTGAGAGGGAGGGAAGGAGGGAGGGGTGAAGAAGAGAAAAGGAACTCCTCTCTCACTCTATTATCCGTCCGTCACAGGGCTCCTGGGAAGTTGCCATGGTTACAGGGACTCACGCCTCAGTGTCCTTTTAACTATTGCTCATAAAGGCAGCATTCAGCTTTGGGCCACAATGCAGATCTCCCTCTCTCTCTCTCTTCTCTTTCTGTCTCTTTCTGTCTCTTTCTTTCTACTTTTCCTTCTGTTTACATCTGTCTACATCTTTTACTTATATGCATCTTTTCTTCTCATTTTCTGCCCTTCTTCTCTGTCTCTCCAAACTTCAAACAGAGCAACCCCACCGTCTCCCCTCCAACCACCACCTCCGTCTTCTGTTTGGTGTTTCTATCTTCCCTTTTATCCTTCACTTTGCTATACTCCTCCATCACACCCCTACCTCCATCACCATAGGAGATAAATTATCCTTCCTCAGACTGTGAAATGTTATTTTCCAAACTCTGCCAACCAAGTCGAAACAGCTCCAGCATAAGTCAAAGAGTGTAAGCAGATAAGCACCCTTCTGTTCACCTTATGAAAAGTTGAAATAATCACATTACATACAAACACATACCTTGAAATATTCACTTAAGTAGCTTTAAAGTGAAAAAAACAACTCTGCATTACAGTGCTGTATATATGTTTTTTTTTATTTTCTTGTTGCAACATTTCACTGAAACTACATCACACTTATTCTGAATAAAATATTCAATCCAAGACATCACCTTTTATGCCTGAAATCGAAGCTTCAAAATGGAAATAATAGTAATAATTTCATTCAGGGACCACACAAAGCTTGACAGTAAAATGTGCACTTATAAGAGACCTCCCAAGAGAAAAGACATTATGAGTCATTTCGCAAATGCCCAGAAACAACATGTTTACATTCAAGTGACAAAGTCCTCTAGCAGCCGTAGTAATTATGACTCTTGTCTGTTGGGAGCAAAGGAGGAAGTTTGGTGACGTTATTATAGAGCAAAGAAGTCTGCATAAGGAGGAGGTCAGGGTGGATAGGGAGGTCAACAAAATGTAGGACTTTGCCACAAGAGACTCCTGTTCTTTTCAAACCGATAGTCAACATTAGTTTACTTAACTATGGTGATAAAGGTCCCCTAACCTTAACAAAGTAGTAAATATAATTAAGAGCTAATTTTTAACCTATTTAAGTACTTTTTAAACCCCAAGTCATGTTTATGCCTAAACCTAATGTCAGACCATAAACTGAATTATTTTTCAAAAAGTAATTTGTAACACATTTGGAAAGCACTGACAAATTATGTTGTCCTACCCTTGAAAGTATCCGATCAAAAAACGCTTATATGTATGATTTAGGAGGACTGTTAGTTTAAGCATGTCGCCTGAACTACCCTGTTTCTACAGTCGCCCAGAATGGACAAACCACTGGCTATAGATAGGGTCTTTCGCGAGCTTCACCATCAGTGGTTCCCAACCTGAGGGTTGCAAGGCCTTTTTAATGTTAAAGAGTGCTAGAAAACTTAAAAATATACACAGTAAGCCTCTATCTCAGCATCTGGTTAACTTCTGTGAAGTGAATACCAAGTAAAGGAAAATGTTAAGTAAATTGTCTAATAGAACAATGACCAGGCTTCAGGGACAAGAAAACACTTAATTTGTCCAAAAAAAAGAAGCCTAGTAAGTTTGTTAAAAAGGATTTTAAAAAATACACAATACAGTTTTAAATATAATATGAAATATCCATTATTTTTTTCACTTAATCAGGGGTCATTAGTTTACTCAATAATAGAAAAGGGGTTCCTTAAGGAAAAAGGTTGGAACCAATGTCCTAAATGCTTAGAAAGGCTAAGCTGTATTTAAATGGTTGCAACTTCACTGCTCGATGCCACTGAATCCTACACACTGAGGTCAACAAGCCGAACCCAAACCTAACCTCTTACATTTTAATTAGTAACCCAAAAATCATTTGAAGATTGTCCAAAATGCCCCCCCCCCCCCCCCAAACCCCAATGTGCTCATATGAATACAAGGCAGTATGGGTAAAAGAGACCATACAGACACATCACATTAAAAACTAATCTAAGATACAAACTACCATAATTCATGTCTGATGAGATTAAATTGACATCTACTTTAAACCACTGACACAAGATCCTTAACTAAAACCTCCTTTCTCAGAATACGTGTGTGGGCTAGAGGTTTAAAGTTTCCACATCACACATAAGTTGCATATTTGACTGTCGGCTCCCGGACTAGTTGTGACGTCACAAAGTCATGTTTGTAGATGCAATCCTCACCTGAGAGATGAGCACAGAGAAACTTTACTTTCCCCCTTTCAGCAGTTGGAATTTTAAAATAGCAGGGGTGGACTTTAATATCTATCTGTAATCTACTTAAGACAGTCCACATGCAGAAAGGAAAGATAATCATCTCTCAACACTGGACACAGTTTCTTCTTTCCTCGGTAACCTTATAGTTTAACCCGAGGAAAGGGCCCAATCCCATACTTGCAGTTGCCATGGTAATCTGGAGGCTTTTCAGAAAAAAATGGGGGGATTCTGTCACTTGTGAATCCGAAACCTCCAGGGGTCCAGCAAAAGAGAGGGGCTAACCTGGCTGGCGTGAAGCCCAGGAGAGGAGCCTTTTGTGTGGGTAAGACATCAGTAACACAGGGCATATGAGGGGAGAGACACAAAGCAGCTGGCAACGAGAAACATCCAGCATGACTGACTTAAAAATGAGGGAAAGAAAGAGGGAGAATAAGAGACGGAAATAGTGGACAGTGGGAAAAGTCTACACAAGAGAAAGTCAGGGAATGAGAAAAAAGTAAAGTAGTTCGAAGAAGGGAGTAAACTGAAACTGAGAATGAAGAAAGACAGAAAATCAAACCCAGATGGGGGTGGGGGGAGAAAAAACAAAAAGAGGTGTAAAAATCAAGACGTACAAAAGGAAAGAATAAAGAAAAAGAAATCAAAAGGTGTTGGCAGTCTTCTACAGTTGGGTCTGACTCAGTCTCAGATCTGCCATAAAAAGCTCTTGACTCTGCCCAAGTCCCTCATTGCACCACTCGCTCACTTGACACCCAGTCCCTCTTTTCACCTCCTGTCGCCCTCAAACAAATAAACACTTGATGGAGAGAGTGGAAAAGCCAAGACAGGAGGAGATTGCCTCCACTTCATTGTCCGGGTCTCTTAAGCTCGAACATCAAGACATGAATGTTTAAATTGGTAACACCAAGAACTGACACAGTTTATGGAGAAATTAACTGACTGACTGGCAAGACATTGTGACACTAACACAATGACAAGGGGATGACAGGTTGCTTCTGACTGTTGTCCATGTTGCCAGCCAGTCAGCACATTTCAGTGTGACATTCTTGATGCCACAGTGCTTGGACAAGTACAGTATCTGACTGACAACAATAAAAATATGTTGGGATTTTGCCAGCTGTGTTGGATTACATTGACATGTATTCATTTACTTACGATCTTAACTGCAAAAGGATGAGAGGACAGAATTAGTTTAAGTGGGAAAAACTTGAATGTGAAACCACACAGACACAATAAAACCATTCCTCTTCCCCATAGTTGTTTATGCTTAATTTGAGCTGACAACATTAGTACTCACTAATGATAAAGCATTAGTACTTTTACTTTGGTACAAGTACAGTAAAAGCTATATGTACTCAGTTACAGTAAATGTAAATGATCACACCTTTTATGCATAAAAAGTGTCTATATTTGATTAAGTTCAAGTTGATTTTGTCATTTCAACCATGAAAGATACAGCTGACTGAAATATTGTTTGAATTGAATTAAATACGATTGTGTACAATATGGATGTATCAAAAACCAATAGTCCAATACATCTGAAGAAATGTGTATGTGATAAACTAAATTAAAGTGAAATTTTAGATTTGGTATGAGTTAAAAGTACTCGTTGTCGCTTTTGACCAAACACTGTTCAGTTCAGAAGGAGATACAGTCAATTGGAGAGCTTTTTGGCAATGGCTAGACAAAAGCTTCGATTTATTGAACAACCAGAGTAGAATGTTTTAAAACGGGGCTCAGTGTACAAGCTGACTTTCTGCAGGAGTCAAATTCTGCACACAGTTGAACACAAGAAATGAGCTGATACAAAAATCAGAGTAACAGGGAGAAAATCATATGAGAGCAAAACAACTACACACATACAAACCACCGGAGGTCTGAATAATGCAGCATGACTGATGCTTGGTGAGGCATAGTTTCCAGTAAACAGAGCTACAAGATTTTTTGGAAACTGACTATTTTGGTTCAATAGATTAATGGAAAATGACAGGCTAAATCATAAATGATAACAGTAAGCATGCAGTGCAAACATACAGGCTTGTACAGCACACTGTTCAAAATCACATTTGATCACATATCTATACGCTGTACGCACATTTGGCAGCTATATAGTGACAAGGTAAAGTCCCAACATCTGCTTCAAATTATAGGTCAATAGAAACTTAAAGGTGCCCTGTAGAGTTTGTAGTTGTAAATAAACATTACACTCAGTATAGTGCCCTAAAAATAAATAAATTAATAAATAAATAAATCATGCATTGTTTATTACTATTTATATTTTTCTTTCATGGTACAAACCCCAGGTTCTGGAGTCAAAGTCTTGCACTTTGTACTGTCACTATCCATTGTCCCATCCTCCTTACGCTAAAATAAATGTTTCATTCACTAAAAAACTGTTGCCTGTTGGAACAG